TCCTTAGCCCCCACCACCCCGGACATTTGGACTGGCAGAAGTCCAACTCTCTGAAGCTCTCTGATAAACTTCACTGGGCAACTGACCTAGGTTCAGGTTAACCCAGAAAAAAAATAATAATGTCAGGCACAAGGAAACAAGACTCTCCCAGTGAGAGTACTGGTTCTGAGCTAGCTTGAAGAATAGGAAATTAAAGTTTCAATAGTACTATGGGACTGTCTCACAGCATCACAGTCAGGTCTTGCTGTGAAAGTTCAAAGGAATCCAGGATGCAGGTCTGATTTACACTCTCTTCCCCTTTAAGTGGTTTCATTCCTCCTTCTTTTTGTTTCTCTTCTCCACATTTTGAAATCAACTTTTGATTTCTTGCAAATTTCTCTTCCTTCTTTCTCACCCTTTGATATCTTCCCACAGAAGACAAGGCTGCCAAAGTGTAGCAAAGACAAGATGCCACGTAGCAGCTTACATTGTTTTTCCTCCGAACGATGCAACTCCGTATCAGTGTGAGAAACACCAAGATTGCTGATGAAGAGCAGGTCTTCTTAGCTAAAGAAACGTTCCCTCACCTTTGGGAGCTATATCTACTTCCTATTTTTTATACTTCTTCCCCTAAAATAACATATTCCCTACTTCATAGAACTTAGCTTTTCCAATTTAATGACTTTCTGCTCCATTTATATCTACAAGGCCAAATTTCTCTGTCAGTATGATGTGATGGCAGGATGATTGTGACTCAAAAAGTAAAAGAAACAAGTTTAAAATACTTTAAAAGCTTTTATAACAAGCCATTGTAAAAACAAAGCACCTTCCCCTGTCCTGTGTTAAAATCAGTCACACTAGCAAGGGCAAAAATTCACAGGATTTGCACAATAGCCTTAGCTTCAGATTTCCAGTGCTTTTTACCCACCTGAATCTGAAAGCTGCACGTGGTCTCCTGAGATTTCTGAACTGCTCTCATTTGGCACGAACAGTGGGGATCTGCTTTGCTCAGCGGAGCGCATTGCCAAGGGAGAGGTCTGTAAGCACTCTAGGCTCTCAACCTGGGAAGGGTTTTCTGGTGGGAACTGGATGGGAATGAAAGTAGCTGGAAAGCATGGAAGGGGTGGCATCGTGGCTACTAGATGAGAAGGAGAAACAGAAAAGCCTAAAAATAATTACCAGAGAAGAAAAATTAGAGAAGCTTAAGACAAATATTTTGCACCAAACTAGAAATCTCTTGCTAGACTGGTATTGCACAAAAAACATTGCTTTCATGTTCCATGGTGGTTTGCATGTTCAGAGTGAAATAATCGAATTCTGCTTTTGTTATCTTATTTAAATTGTAAAACATGTTTGCTGCAACCATCAGTCATAACCAAAATTACCACATGCTACAGGGATGCTGAATTAAAAAGAATTTACAAAGTACTCCTGAGCACATAAAACACATATTTCCCCTCAGACTCCTTAAGCAGCTAAAATTTAAGTATTGCAAAGTTTCTCTGAGGCACTCCTCAATGCAAAAGAGGGAAAGGTTTTCCTTTTAGCTCTGGATGTGAATACTTCCAACTGGAAAAGATGTAAGCAGTTCTGCACAGGGACCAGAAGCCAGGCTCACTATTTCCAGGAAAGAAATCCCTTCATAAGGTTACAAAATTAGGCTCGCTTCTCAGTTGCTTTCTCCACACCATGATTCCTTTCTGACCTGCAACTCACAGAACAACTATTAGAACTATAGAGAACAACTATTTCTGACCTGACCTCAACAACCTCAACAACTCTCTATTCTTCAATAGAGAGTGCCTGAGACTGAAATTGCCTCACCACCCAGTTAAGGCATTTTTTGGAAGAAGGCTGATCTGTGGATTCAAATCCTGCCTGGCACAGGCTCAAAAAAAATCCCAACTTGCTGTTTCTGGACAGATGGTGTAACCATGCAGCTTGCAGGTAGGCAGAGCCACTTCTGTCTGTGTTACCAGGAGATGTTAAAATGCTAACCTGTAGTTCAATGAGGTTTTGATTTTACTGCTGGTCACTGTATTATTTCTTTAAATACATGGCATTATTAAAGCAACTACCTTTATCAAAATTCAATAAATCATAGCCCTAGTAGTTCTTCATATTTTACCTCTTCAAAGCTCAATGGGACCAGATTATGCAATGTCTTTTGCTACTCTTGACCTACACTGCCCCCACTAACAAATGAGCACTTTCAGTGCAGATTTTGGTCAGATTTTTGTGCAAGTAACCATTTTGTCTGTGGCTTTAATATGTTAGCTAAATGTATCTGAATATGTAAATACAACCAAACAGCATCCTAGAAACTTTTTCTTACTGTATGGTCTTGAGTTCATGATACTAACTGTGCTTGCTTTCTTCAGAAATGTGTCAAGTGATTTCCAGCACTGGGGCAAGGGGAAGAGAAGTTTGCTTGAGGAAGCACAGCAGGACCCAAGGCACTTTCCTTCTCACACTGTGCAGTCCTTCCTGAGACCCTGAAGAAAGCGGTGCTGCCTAACTATTCTGCTCACGGTGAACCAGTGGAAGTAACAACAAGCATCTTGCTAATTGTGGCATTTGGGCAGGGTTTAATGAGCAACATAATTGCTCTGTGGATGTTCTGCTTTGATTAGAAAACTTGGAAGCCACAGACTGTGTACTTGTTCAACATGGTCACTGCGGACAGCTTGCTGGGTGTTTGCCTGCCATTTCAACCAAACTTTTCTCTGAGGCAAAAAGCACAAGACCAGGAAAATCGGTACAATGGCAGCCAGGCCTGCTGGTATCACTACTGGTGTGGCTTGGCTTCTGTCTGCAGGGTCAATGGTTGAGATCCTGCTTACCCCCCAACCAAAAAAACTGATTGTCACACAACACCAAGTTTGAAAACAAGACCTTCAAAGAGATGTGACACTGTGTTCTTTCTCGAGTTTCCTGTTCCCTTCAGTCTCATATCGCTTTGCACTGCTGGCATCGTCAGGAAGCTCAGAACAGTCTCCACAACACAAGCAGACAACCTAAGCCGCAGAAAGCCAAGCTTTTGATGGTCACTGTGGGGGTGGTGTTTGGCCCTTCCTTCCTACCTGGTCCATATACCCCAGTGGGTGCCTCCTGCTTGCCTACACGCGCTGCAGCTCTGATAGCCATACAGCTTTTCGCGTTGCTGTTAGCATGTTTGATGTCTGTATCTGCTGCACCTCAACAGTGCAATGGATCTGGTTGTCCGTTGTTTGTCCAGCCCAACTTTTCGTCATTCCTACAGAAGGTTCTCTGACCTCATGTGGCTGAGAAGAAATGAAGCAAAGCCCCAGAGCTCAGACGATAGTCTTAAAAGACACTGACACCTGAAACCAGCAGAGACCGTTCGGTATATTTATACAGACCTAATTCTGCATGCATATACACAGGTTTAAAAGGCTGGGTTTTTTATTTTCTTCCCTTTTTGTTACACTGGGAATAGAGGGAAGATGAAGCCTGCAAGCATTTTCCGGGCCAATGTTGTTTAATTCAGCCTTTCTAAGCCCTTTTATTTTGTTGGCTAATAACTGCTATTTATATACATTAGTGAGGTAGATGAAAGTGGCTAAAATGTCAGTTTCTTTTATGGCAACAACAGTGTAAGGTCCTGTTTCCCTAAAGCCAACTAACAAGTGCCAACTGCCAGAGTTTCTGGAGCAGGGCGGGGAGAATGCAAGAGACCATAAATTCTTGGTGATTTTATTATTATCACTAACTTTGCCTAAAGTAATACCTTTTTTGTGTGTGTAGACCTTTGCAAGCAGATGTTCCTCATATGGCAACTGAAATAGAATTTTGATTATAAATTATTCTGGCCAAATTGGCCAAACTAGGTGTGTTACGAAGTACTTTTATGCATGCATGAAGGGACAGCAAAAGACATGGCTGTCTTTAACTGAGAGGACTTCCTCACACTATATATGCTTAGAACCTGAGAAGACAGTTTTGAAAAAAAAATGTAGCTTTTCAGCTCTAAAACGTTATTTGTAAGATCCCACCAGGCTACATTGAACTTTAGCAGGCAAGGTGACATCACCTAGTTCTCCTAACGATCCTCTCAAATCTTAGTAAGATGAGACTCTTGCAGCTCCTCAACTGGGCAAAGCAGCTTGAAATTAGACTGAGAAAACTGATGCCAGATCAATGTGCAGATGCAGGCAGGGGATTCCTGAGGCTGCTTAGGCTCCTACCAGATGGGTTAGGTGAAGCTGCCTCCCCAGCAGGTTATCTAAGGAGCAGCAGCAATCCAAAGATCACCTGGCCTTCCTGTGCCCTTATGGATGCTCCCTGCCTGATGTTATGCACCAGTAGCCCTGCTAAAGCCAGGACGATGCTGTCACAAGCCTACGTGATTTCCCTAAGTTCTTCTTTCACCATGGGGACACACGCTGAGGAGAATGTGCTACTACTGTGGACAGGATGGGAAGGGGAGCGGGGGCTCCTCTTTTTCTACTTGCTGAGCAGATGGCATTTTCTGGAAATGCTGCTGGTAAAATGAAGCTGTTCAAGGAGTTGTATCATGCTGTGAGGAACAGGCTATACTGTTAAAGGTAAGAGTCTATCGGCAGAAGGATGGCGTGTTGACTTTCTTCCTTTTTTCTACATAAAAGCTATAACTTTCATCTATAGGTACAGAAAAAAGGATATTTCAACTTTTCTGTAATGCTCACCACTATACTATGATTTTCTGCAGTAGCATTCAAATCTATACTTCAGTAGAAATCTGTACAGGAGGTCTGTTATTAAATGTAAAGGACTTCTCATGGTTCCTGTGGAATTTTAATATACAAAAGTGGAAAGAAGTGTTTTCTGGGGTTTACAGCTTGTGTGTAGTATGTGTGAAGAAATCAATGTTTTAGCCCAACTGCCAGAGGAAGAGCCCCCAGCTGCTGAAAACAACTATCAAACCTTCTCTTTCTTTAAGGAACTGCCCCATTTCGCTGCTGGAGTACAATCATCGGCAGGTGAGGGTGCCGCAGCATCAGAAGGGATTCCCCAAGTACCTGGGTTGTAAAGTGCAATGATTTTCTGTTGTTCAGCCACCAGCCTTTGCAGCTGCTCCATCTGCTGCCTCATCACCTGGTCCTGCTGCCCTTGCGTCTGAAAATGTCGTGAAGATATAATATCAAAATACATTACTGGATCGTTTTTAATCAGAAAGAGTCACCATATCTGGACTTCGGGGGTAGATATTTCTTAAAGTGTGTATTTCTTTTAATAAAGAATGTTGACATTTGTATTTAGAACTCTTTTGCCATTTTACAACTCAAAGGGTGCACTGACACTTCTTCCTGAAGAGGCTGTGCAACTATCAGAAATAGACAATATGCAGTTATAAATTCTGTGATTATTTAAAGCAAACTAACCTGTTCCATGTTTTTGTAGGTGGGAGCACAATGGTTCCTCCTAGGTTCTGAGGCAGGAGGATGAGTGAACATTTCCAAGGTGTCCCTTGCATCACGAATTCCAGCCTCAGTTACACTGGAAGACAACTTTTGAGGAAAAAAAATCACAGCTGGACAAATAATATAATTGCCTTGCATGCTGAAAAGCTTGGTTGTGGCCCAAGTTATCTGTTGAGACATTACTGTTGCCCATCATACTGCTGGCTTCTGAACTGTGTAAAAGTGGACACTGCTTGCTGGAGGACTCACTTGTATTGTCAACCCAACCCGGGGATAGAGAAGGCATGACCTTCTCAATTATTATATTGGAGGAAGGTACCATGCTTGCCAGATCACTGGCAGTCTGCTGTGACATATGGTCTTTCACCTTGAAAGCATCTGCTTCCACGCCCTGCTTTCCGAACTCCATGTTAGGGAAGTACAATAAAAACCACCATGAATAAATGTGTCATACCGACATAGTAAATGCTGTGATTTGTTTTCTTTTTTTTGTTTTTTTGTCATCCAAGAGATTACTTTTTCAGCTCAGGCTGAATGTAGAGTATCTTCTGACGTTAGAAACTGTAAAACATACATGTATATAAAAATGTATATGTAAATCTACACATTATATATATAAAAAATACTGTTAGGATACATGCAATACAAAAACCCTATAAAATCACAATATTTCTGCCAGCTAAAATGGTTTAGATGTACCGCCTGCTCTCTTACTATTAAATCCTAAAGTCTCAAACAGGAACAGATGTAAGACTCTATTACAATAAAAAACAAAACCCATTCACTACTAGAAGCCATTGCCAAAATGCAAAGTGTCTTTCAGCTAAATAATCAGCCTTTACATTCAGAGAAAGTGCTTAATGTCCAAAGAGGACTGCAGAAAGCAGGGAATGGAGATAACAGGAGGAAACAGGAGAAAACAAATGGCATGTGAAAAAAAACCAACCAGATAAAAACATCACTAGAAAGCCTCCTGATGTTTAAGTAGCTCAGAAGAATGTTTATTTCAAAAAGATAGAATAATCCTGCTACAGCTTGCAGCCATTTTGCCCGAGACCAGGATGGCTGAGACAGCTGAGCAACACAAATGTTCTGCTTCCCCTCTTTAGGCACTTGGCTCCAGTCCTTCCAAGGCAGGGGACAGGCATCTGCTACTTACCTGAAAAAATTGGGGCGAGGGCCCTGTATTTCAGCAGCTGAAGCTAAGTGAGCTTCCCCATCTTGTCTGCTATGGGAGGGTTCAAAGGTAGTTTATTTCCACTCTTTCAGAAGTGTGGAGTCTCCAAGCACTTCATTTGCTCGCAAGAAAATTATTTAATGCTTTCTTCCTACTTTGATGTAAGTGGTTTGCGTAAGATGTATACACACCCTACCAGGTACAATACCTGCTTTGACAGATCCATCATGTGTAGCTAGGAAACATTATGTTGTTTGCAGGCTTAAACTCCCTTTAGGGTAACCTACAGTTCCACTGGAAACATTTTGGAAATCTACAAATCTAAACCAACAGAAGTCCAGGCTGTGTGGGCAGATGCTTATATGCTAAAATAAGAACCCTACAGAATGGATCTTCAATAGGAGTGGGAAAAAAAGGAAGCAGATGTAGTGAAGACAGAGCACTGGACTGGGATAGATCAAAAAGAATGGGCTGAGGAATCACATTTAAAGAAAAGAGTAGAGCCCATGACCCTATATTGCAATTCCCTCCAGAGCCTAAGAAGGAACACCAAATTCCTGAATCTCCCTGTTCCTCTGCAGCCAACAGCAGTATCAGTGGTATCCTGGTATTACACAAGATATGAAAATTTACTTCTACAGATCCCCACTTCAGGTTGAAGTCAAGATCTTCAATAGGAGTGTAAAAAAAAGGAAGCAGGTGTAGTGAAGACAGAGCACTGGACTGGGATAGATCAAAAAGGATGGGCTGAGGAATCACATTTAAAGAAAAGAGTAGAGCCCATGACCCTATATTGCAATTCCCTCCAGAGCCTAAGAAGGAACACCAAATTCCTGAATCTCCCTGTTCCTCTGCAGCCAACAGCAGTATCAGTGGTATCCTGGTATTACACAAGATATGAAAATTTACTTCTACAGATCCCCACTTCAGGTTGAAGTCAAGTGGAGCTAAAAGTCCCAACCTGCCAGTGATTTTTCTGAGGATAATGCTATATGCAAGCTGGTTGGGTTTTTGATTTTTTTTGTTTGACTTTTTTTTTTCTAACCTAGGAAACAACACATAACCACAAAAATCACTTAGCTATTCATAAGGTGCAAAGTTCAAGTGCTGAGCAGTTACCAGCTGCCAGCATGAAGGTTGCTCTCAGTAGTAAGGGGCATGGACACTCCACACACTGGTCATGCTTTCTCCAAAATCCAAATGAAGAAAATACAATCTGAAGACTAAGAATGGTGGGATCTGGAAAGAGGCAACATTTGCCAAGAGTCTCTCCAAACACATGCTTCGTTTTAGGCACCACACCTACTGCACATCAGGTAAGGAATTATGAAGAACTGGATTTTGTGAGGAAAGCTTCCTGACATCATCAGCAAGGAAAAGATATTCCAACCTTGACACTGATAAGGAGGTCTCTGAGCGACTATCTTGAGAGTGTCAGCTTTTATCCCATTGAAAATTAAAAAAAAACCAACAATAACCATCCATCATAGTCGATCTTCTTCATCAGTTTGTAATCTCAGAAAGGCGGGGGGCTGTATTTGTAATGTATGAGGCTTCATAGGTAAGAAACAGTTTGTTTATAAAAGTTAACACTGCCTAGGCTGGTAGCTGACTTTAGCTCGGGTAAGAAACTGAACACTGAAACTTGCTCTGTCAAGGAACCTTTTCAACGTTTGCGTTCTCATTGCCGCGGGTCGCCGGGGAATTGCTGAGTAAGCAGCAGCTCTCACCCCCAGCCCTGAGCCCTGCGGCTCTTCCCGGGCTGCACCCCTCGATCAAAGCCACACGGAGCCTCCCCTTCTCCCGGCAACAGAGCGATTCCTCAGTAAACACGGCCCACGCGGTCAACACTGCTCCCCGTGAGGCAGAAGTACCTTCGCACGGGGCACCTTGGCAGCCGGCGGCGGCGAACAAGGAAGCGCGGTGCAGCCTGCCCCTTGCCCTGTGAAGCGTTTGTGGGGGTTCTCTGCTTTAGCAGATTTGTTTCATTTAAAAACTGTTATAAAGACCAACGTGTTTTCTCCCAGGTCGTCTCCTAATAAATATTAGGCAAAGTAAAGGAATAAAATGCTTTGCGCTTTCACAGAGCCTTCCACCCATGTAATTTTAAAGCACTCGGTGCGTTAACCGCTTGCATAAGGTCAGTATGTCTATGCAAATGTGACCTGATCTTTAACATTGCCAAATCCTCACAAATTCCCCTGAAAACAGGTAGAAATCTGACGGAAAGCCTTGCCGGTT